TCTTGCTTAGTCAGGTCTTTAACTCGTGAGCTCAAGCAATGAACCCACCTGGGCCTCCCAGAGTGGAGGGATTGCAGGCATGAGCCACCATGCCTGAACTCATTAGTGGTAAATTCACTTAGATCACCATAGTAGCTACACTTCTAAGGTAGAAGTATGAAAGAAATCATGGCAACAGGGATGTTTACTTTGTTTTTAACATTCTTGTGCTTTTTGTTTTTTTTTTAAGAGATGAAGTCTCACTATGTTGCCCAGCTGGCTTCAACTCTTGGGCTCAAGCGATCCTTCTGCCTTGCCCTCCTAAGTAGCAGGCGCTCTTATGCTATTTGAAAAAAAATTTTTATTTTACTCTAATACAAACATATATTTATTTATTCAAAGATTGACCAATCTGCTTCAAATTGCTTTTCCCTCCAAAATATAACAATCTTTACCACTGTATTGAAAAGCCAGTAGACTCAGTACATAAGTTACATGAGCACTTGGCATATGGAACTAAACAGAACACAGTTCTATCGATTATAAAACAGTTTAAACATAAGAACTTCAAGGATTCAAAATATTTTTAAAAATTGCAAAAATACTTATTCAGAAAAACTACTTCTTTTCCCTAAAATCAAAGCCAGACAGATACTCAGTTGCAATTCTTCTCTTTCTCTTCTCTGTTTCTAACCCATTTGACTTTATCTATATCATAATTATCATGACTGGGATAACTGATGCCTAGTTTTGAAAGTCTTTGTCTTACTCAACTGTAGGCAAAGTCACAACATTTGTACAAAAGAAGCCCTTGATAATTGTTAAATATTGATATGAATGGAGAAGCCAACTTAAAACAAGGATTATCATCAGAAATTGTTTGAAGTGCCACACTAAATTTAGCATCAGAAGTTAGAAAATAGCCAGGTACGGTGGCTCACACCTGTAATCCCAGCACTCTGGAAGGCAGATGCAGGTGGATCACCTGAGCTCACAAGTTCAAGACCAGCTTGCGCAAGAGCAAGATCCCATCTCTAAAAATAGCCAGGCACTGTGGTGGGCACCTGTAGTCTCAGCTACTCAGGAGGTTGGGGCAAGAGAATCACTTGAGCCCAAGAGTTGAGGTTGCTGTGAGCTACACTGCTACAGCACTCAACCCAAGAGTGACTGAGTGAGATTCTGTCTCAAAAAAAAAAGAAGTTAGAAAAATGAAGTATAGGGCCAAAACTCTAAGACATTAAACTTTATACATAAAAAATGAGTCAGAATTATGAGATTATATATTAAAAAGCAAAATGACACAACAATCATTAAGGTAATAACAAACTTTTACCAATCTTTCAGAAAACATATGATTTTAGAAATTACTAGCAAAACAGTAAGAAAGCTCATAGTTTTTTCAAATGCTACAGAATTCAGAAAATCATCTAGTATTTATTATGAGAAATGAAAAACCCAGTGCCTACCTTTCTAAAATACATCACTGAATAAAACAAAAAAACTGTCAAAAAAAAAAAGTACTTTCTTGGCTTATCAAGAATATGTGAAAAGGCAGGTGTGAAAATTCACCTACATATTTCGACAATCTTAAATACTTTTTCTCTATCTCTTCTTGTGTCCAAAAATCAAAGAAGTGCTAATTAAGGCTTGAAGTTTTTCTAGAATATATATTAGTGATTCTGGTTAATATCATGTGCTTTGGAGTCAGATCTGGATTCAAGTTCTGGTTCCATCACTTTCTGACTGTGTTATGAGGGCAAGTCTAATATCCTATTTTCCAAATGAGAAATCTGAAGTAAACAGTATCCCACACCCACCTCAAAGAGTTGCTATGAAGATTTAACGAGGCAATGCATATGATACACTCTGGACAAAGCCTAGAGTATGGTAAGCACACATAAATGTTAACTGTTGTTATCACCATTATTCCTCACTAACAGTATAAGATTTAACTATAGGTTATTTTGAGCCAAATATTTTCCTTCCTAAGAGTCTACCTACCCTCTCCCACATACTGATTGTTATATAACAATAATTCTTATGTGGGAACTATGGCTTTGAATATAGGGATAAAACCGGAAAATGATCATGCAACACAGTAAGAAACCTCACTGTTTTATAAATCTTTGATTTATAAGTTATCTTTTTTCTAGAATCCTTAACAATCAAAACCTGTATTAAATACTAATACTTAGTTTATATTCATAATAAGGATAACAGCTTTCAGGTGGCGCCTATGGCTCAGTGGGTAGAGCACTGGCCCCAGATACCAAGGGTGGCAGGTTCAAACCCAGCCCTAGCCAAACTGCAATTAAAAAAAAAAAAATAGTCAGGCGTTGTGGCAGGTCCCTACAGTCCCAGCTACTTGGGAAGCTGAGATAAGAGAAACTGCCTAAGCCCAAGAGCTAGAGGTTGCTGTGAGCCATGACGTCACAGTACTCTACTGAGGGTAACAAAGTGAGACTCTGTCTTAAAAAGAAAAAAATAGGATAACAGCTTTCAGAAGTACCAACAAGCTTAATAAACTCCAGAAGCTTGGTATTTAAACATACTGAGGCTTTTAAAAACAACTTTTTTGTACTTAAATTATTTGAATTATCTAAAAACGTGCATGTTCTTTTTCTTTTCTTGCATTTAAAGATTATACCAACCTCCCTGGGATAGAGTCTTCTCCTTTTCTTCATCTTCTGCAATCATTTCTGCCATCTCAAGGAGATCAGCTTCAAATGGGTGTGTGGGAAGCTTTTCCTTAATGTCTTCAATCTCAGCGACTTTATCTTCGTTATCCATTGAGGATGGAATAACCATAGGTACAGGCATCTGAAAGACCAAGGTAGAGTGAAGAATTTCGTAGGCAATAGGTTTTGCCAAAAGCATTATTTGTGAGATGATTTAAGTATTAAAATAATAAACAAATTTCAGCTATAGTATTTTCACTGCTAATGATTAAAACAGTCTTGCTACTTTATATTTATAAAACTATAGCCATTTAAAAAAAAAAAATTCAGGGCAGCGCCTGTAGCTCAGTGAGTAGGGTGCCAGTCCCATATACCAAGGGTGGTGGGTTCAAGCTTGGCTCCTGGCCAAACTGCAACAAAAAATAGCTAGGTGTTGTGATGGGCACCCGTACTCCCAGCTACTCGGGAGGCTGGCTGAGGTAAGAGAATCGCCTAAGCCCAAGTACTGGAGGTTGCTGTGAGCTGTGACCCCACAGACCTCTACCTAGAGCGGCAAAGTGAGACTCTGTCTCTTAAAAAAAAAAAAAAAAAAA